CTATGATGTTCATTTGACTGCTAATCAGAAGGTTGGTGGTTCAAACCCACCAGCCACTCCTCATAAGGAAGATGGGGCAATACTACTTCCGTAGTGATCCTGCCTCGAAAACCCAAGGAGGGGTTGCCTGTGAGTTGGGTCCGACTTGACGGCACATAACAACAACAACAACATGATGTTCATCAAGGATTTTATGAATGATTTATTTTTTAAGCCATGTATTCAGTTTCCAAACATGATTTTTTATTATGAACAGAAATTTAAGAAGAAAAAGCTTTGATCAAACAACTTTGTGAAGCTTGAAGAAGACCAGGTTAAGTCGCTATTGAGCGGTCAGAAGTGAAAAAGAAGGAGGCCTGGTCTCTGGGAAGCAGGTGGGGGATTGGGAGGCAGAGTCACAGACAGGAGCCCGTATCTGGAGCTTTACAACCTGGAAGAGAGAAGTAAGCAGGATGTATATGTGGGTAGAAAGCTAGTGAGTCTGATTAACACTGAGTGATTTGAACACAATTATTCACCCTTGAGGTCTAATAAAATTTAAGAAGAAATATTGGTGAGAAGGACCACAAGCAAACTAGAAAATGACCTGGCAAGCTAAGCCCCCATTCTTAATTTCTTTAACAAGTAGAACTAAACTCATTGTCCACTAGCAAAACTTTCAATATTGGATGTCTCTGTGGAAAACTGTCATCTCTGTATATGGGATCAGGAATGATAAAGAAAGCTATTGCCCGGGCAGCTACTTAGTAGGCTAACCTAAAAGGGAGTGCTTTCTTCCCCATCCCCTCCCCCCCACAGGTATTACATTGGAATTGAGTGAATTGAAAAGAGCGGTGAAAAGATTTCAAGAGAATGCTGGTAAAATTACCAGGCAGATCAATGAATCACTCTTGATACTTAAAGCAATTCCTGAAGGTAAGTGGAAGGGGGTTTCTTGATTTAATTAACGTTTTCTCATTCAAAGTCATTATACGTGAGCATGATGAACTCTTGCTTCAAGATTAAGAGCCATAGCTCTAAATGAGACCAAGATTGATAAAATTTTTGCTGGCAAAGAAACCTGATTTGGAAATTAAGATGGCTATTTTTAAAATAGAACTTCAAAATGCTTGTATTGAAATGCTGGAATTTTACTGTTAAAAGCAAAAGCCTTAGAGACTTGATGCTGCCATCTTAATTACTTACTTTGAATATAGACATGGCCTGTGTGCTATGGATGAAAAAGCAATTCAAAGAGGTCAGCAAATAAAGAAGTTGGAATGCTCTTTATCTGCTTTAAGGGGAAAATGCTGGATTCATTATCAATGTGGGAATTAAAGATCTCCTGTTTGGTAAACTTTATGAGTCAATAAAAACATGCTAAGATAGGCTCATGGAGCACTTTAATATTGATGGTTTTAAAATGCAGTATTAATTAAAATTTTAAGTAGGATAACTTTTAAAGTAATACCAATGAATTGTGCTCTACACTCCTTCAAACTTTTTTTTCTTAACAAGCAATATATTTAAGTCTCACAGGATACCGAAACTCATCTCCAAAGTCCTTCCATCTCCATAGTTCTGTTGTACACATGGAAGGGACTGTGGCGACCTGTGCTTTGGACTTTCTTCTTACTTTTAAATCAATGGAGCATTATCGAATCTGGCAGGGTTCCCCCCCCCCCCCAGCAAAGGACAATATAGTATATATTGGTTAAAGAGTTGGGAAAGAACTTTTTATTTGTAAATAATTTCAAAGTTGCAAAAAAAGCTGCAAAAAGAGAGCAGGGAACACCTATATACTTTCCCCAGATTCTTCTAGTGTTAATGTTTTGCCTTGTTGTGGTTAAACACTTAAAATGAATTATAAACTCACTTGCATTGAGTCGGATCCGACTCATAGCGACCCCTCCTTGGTTTTCTGAGACAGTTTCTCTACAGAAGTAGTTTGCCCAACCTTCCTTCCAAGGAGTGACTAGTGGGTTTGAACCCCCAGGCTCCTGGTTAGCAGTCAAATGGCTTAGACACTACACTACCAGAGCTCCTAAAAACAGTGCCTTTGAAAAAAGAATCACCCAGATTTTCTAGAATCACTATGAAGTACAGTTTACCTCTGGTGACCATTGAATTTTTATTCTGTTGTCATATCTGTAAGTCAGGTGATGTAGGCAAACACCACTTCCTCTAGCCTAGGACACTTTCTTCTCACTGGTGAATAAAAGTCCCCAAATCTTCTTATTCAAACATGGAATGATTTGGAGTAAGTATTGAATGAAGACGAAAAGGGGGTGATAAAAAACAAAGTTTAACTTATTAACGTAAAGGACACTGAACACATGGCAATTAGCAGTTGTTTTTGTGATCTCATTGTGTATTCAAATCATATTCTAGAGGATTGTTACAAAAAAACATTTCATTTATATCAAAAAGGGAGCAGTAGAGCACATGACATGCAACTTTAATATTGCCATTAATTTGTGCTCAACAACCAATAAGAAATACTGAAGCATTTTTCCCTGAAAAATTACGTTTGTCTCTGTTTTACATTTTTTTCTTAGGTATAATCACCATTGTATGCTTACGTACAAATTTATTTCAGGTGTCAGAAACAAAGAAAGGAACACCAAAGAGCTAGCCACGTCTGCAAACCAGAGTGCAGCGAGCACGCTGAAGAATGTTGTGGGTTTGAGCCAAAAGCTGCTGAATACATCGACTACCCTGTCCAGGGTGAATGCCACATTACGAGAAACAAAGGGGCTCATGCATGACTCCTCAGAGGCCAGTATGTCAGCAGTCTTCCCTCACATTATCAAAGTCTGAACGAAGCAGACTCTGAGCTTGTGAAGTGCAAAATTGCAACTCCATAAACTGCTAACAAACAGCATTCCTCAAAAAGTAAAAAGGCACTAACATCTGGATTTGCCCATATGAAAAAAAAAGGTCTTGGGCAATGTATTTTTCATGTATTTACCAAAATTTCCAGGATTTGATTATTTAAGACAATCTATATCCAGGGCATTGTTGATGAATTAATAATGAATTAATGTATTTTGTCTGCCCTCCCCCAACTTTCATTGTCACCCCTCACCTCCATGTATTTGTTAGCTCTGTTAGTTGGAAGAAAAGTTAAAGATGTGGAAACGCAAGCCAACCTTTTATTTGATCGACTGAAGCCTTTGAAGATATTGGAAGAGAACCTGAGCAGAAACCTATCAGAAATTAAACTGCTGATCAGCCAGGCCCGGAAACAAGCAGCTTCTGTGAGTATGGGGCTCCAGTTAAACCAAAGGCACTCCTGTAGAAACACAGACATGCTCGGTAACATCCAGGTCCTAGAATTCCTGTAGAAACAACTCCCGGTAATAGCAGTCTCTTGGAACTCCTACAGACCCAGCTCTTAATATACTTTATTCAATGTGCTTCAATGTGTTTTGAGAAGTCTCCATGTCTTTATGGATATTTATAATTATTTATATCTAGATACAGTTTCTATCAAATTGACTCCAACTCATGGCAACTATGCCAGAGTAGAACTGTGCTCCATAGGGTTTTCAATGGCTGATTTTTTGGAAATAGATTGCCAGGCCTTTCTACTGAGGCACTCACCACTAAGTGGATTCAAACTACCCACCTCTTGGTTGGCAGTATAGGATGTTTCCCATTTACACCACCCAGGGACCATTTATAACTACTGTATATTTATAGACTATAATTATTAACCCAGGTGATGTAGAATATGTTAAGTCTAAGTTTGTTTATGTTTTTAAAGTGTTATTATCACTCTCAGTTTCATTGGTTGCATACAATATCACTTCATCATTTTACCAACTTAGTTTCAAAATTCTAAGTAATCTTTAGAATGTCCATGTTGTATGGATGTCACTCTCTAGGAGGTGACAATCTGAGAAAACAATCTGTACAGCATTTGTGCCTCTGAATGGAAGCACTCTTGTAGCACAAGCTTCAGAAAATATTTATGGTCCTCCAGGGCCCATAGAAAGGAGCTCTAGGGGCGTAGTGCCTAAGGCATTTGACTGCCAGCCAGAAAGTTGGAGGTTCAAATGCACCAGCCACTCTGCAGAAGGAAGACTGGGCAATCTACTTCCATAATGATTTACCACCTTGGAAACCCAAAGGGGGTCACTGTGAGTCAGAATCGACTTGATGGCAGTGAGTTTTGTTTTTTTTTTTGTTTTTGGAGGGCCCATAGAGTTGGCTGTGCTCAAAAAGAGAGGAGTTTCAGGGAAATGGTAAGACTGTAGAGAGAACATGTGGTTGTCTTGCTACTGGGGACCTTGCAGTGGATTAACTGTGACCTCTGGTCTTGCATTTATCTCCCAAAACTTTCTAGCCAGGAGAAAGGACTTCCAAGCTCTTTGTTTTCACTTGAATGACCTTTCTATTGGGAAAGGCGGGTTGGTTTACCTCAGTGCTGGCTTCTGTCTTAGTTATAGTCACTAAATAAGTCCAAGGGATGACTCCAATGCTATGATAGATGCAATCTTATAATGTTTAAGGTTAATATAAGATATACACACAAACCAAAAACTAAAGCTAAACTCACTGCCATCGAGTCAGATCCAACTCACAGCGACCCCTCCTTGGATTTCCAAGGCAGTATCACTATGGAAGTAACCATAGTAAGTAAGTAACCCAACCTTCCTTCCAAGAAGTGGCCAGTGGGTTTGAACCATCAGCCTTCTGGTTAGCAGTCAAATGCCTTAGGCACTACACCACCAGAGCACCTGTACACACAAATACCTACTATTTATAGAAATACATGATAAGAGCAATGTTGTTGTTGTTGTTATGTGCCGTCGAGTCGGCCCCGACTCATAGCGACCCCTCCTTGGGTTTCCGAGGCAGTATCACTATGGAAGTAGGATTGCCCAACCTTCCTTCCGAGGAGTGGTTGGTGGGTTTGAACCGCCAGCCGTCTGGTTAGCAGGCAAGTGTCTTAGCCACTAATATTTGTAGAATAGACATGTATTGCTCTTCTATTTATTCCCCAGACAATCATTGAATATCCTCTCTGTGTCAGCTGGAAGGATTCTAGGTGATTTGGATATGATCTTTGTCTTTAAGGAATTAAAACTTGTGAGCACAGTAGCTTCCTATATGAAATACACTAAAAACCCTACACCAATGTTTCTGTATTTAAGCTCTTGGCAGGACAAAGTAATTTTCACCATTATCTGATATCTCACTTTTTGAGACTCAAAGTTTCACATATTATCAAGGTGGGAAGACTGTCTAGCAGCAAGAATCAGTTACAGATGACACTTTGAGCTCTTGGTGAGCTGCCAGTGATTGAAATGAAATGATTGGGATGCTTTTCCCTTTCTCGGCAGATTAAAGTTGCTGTGTCTGCAGATAGAGATTGCATTCGGGCCTACCAGCCACAGATTCCGTCTACTAACTATAACACCTTAACACTAAATGTCAAGACTAGCGAACCAGACAACCTTCTGTTCTATCTCGGGAGCAGCACCAGCGTGAGTTACCGACCTGCAGAAAACAATGATTTTCTTGTCAATATATATATTTTCTGAACTGACTTTCTTTTTATGAAAAAAAATAAGACCTTGGGGAAATCACTAATAATTCTAAGAAATGAAACTTTTCCCCAACTGGTAGTATTAGAGTCAAAATAAGCAAATGACAAACTTAAATCCCTGTGAGGAAGAAAGTGACATTTCTGAAAGGTTTATCCCCCTGCCATCTGCATCATTCACCTTGAGAACAGAACTCTACATGATGCCCTCTGTGACCCTGTAGGGACAGGTTTAGCTTTGGGCCTGTAATGTCAGTGTTGGTGGTTGCCAACAGGCGTGGGGATGCACATGCCCTAGGGGAACATATCTAGATTTCAGTCTTCATCCAGGCTCTTCAACCAACTAGATTCCAGTGGTTCCCAGAGGGAGTGTCCCCTGGGGAGAATGTCCTGGAAGACCATTGTGCCAGTGGGAATGAGCCAGGTGTGCTAGGACAGAAAATGTTAGAAGGCCATATGTTACCTGCAATGACTTCTTAAGAGATCATGTGCAAAATGCATGCACACTTATAATATGGGATTCCACAGCTCCTATCTTACTATGTATCTTGCATTAAATCATTGTGTCCTTAGTCAATGACTGGGAAACAAATAATGCAAAGCCTGGCCTATGCTCTCTGGGGACTGCTGGAGATGTGCAGATGGTGTCACTGAGGGGCTGTGATATGAGAAGGTATTGTGGAGGGCCATGTAGACTAGGACAGTGGGACAAGATGTTCAACAGTGGCCACTATTCCAGCATCACTGAGTCATGGAATAGATCCAAGTTGGGGAGCGTTTACAGACAAAAGGAAAGCGATTTTGGTTTTAGGGTTTTTTTTTTTTATTATTACTACTTTTGGAGAGAATGCTATATGAGCTTGTTCTTTTGCATTTGGTAGTCCAGCAAACAGCTCAGTGTGTAAACTACCCCCTCCATCCCCATGCCTTGCCCTCAGGAGGATTTCCTGGCCGTGGAAATGCGGCATGGAAAGGTGGCCTTTCTGTGGGATGTGGGCTCTGGGTCCACACGACTGGAATTTTCAGACTTCCCTATTGATAACAACAAATGGCACAGTATCTACGTAACCAGGTAAGACAGAAAGTTCTCTTCTAGCATCTCTCTTTATTAAACTGTATTTTCCTAATGTTTTATAAGTAACTACATGCTTGTAACATCATATAATAGGCTTTGAAACTTATAGGAAGGCCCAAAGAATACTTAGCCTAGATTAACTACAGAGACAGGGTTATTTTATTATTATTATTATTACAGAATAAATAAGCTTTGTTGCACAAAATCAACAATCCAAAACAGAAAAAAAAAACCCTGAAAGTTTGAGTACTTTGAGAATGGTAGGAATAAGTCAGAGGGAGCCAGCCCAATAAAGTGTTAACAGAACAAAACGTAGCATGGTAGAAATTCCATGGGGTTGGCAGTGGTAGCAAGTGGAAGAGAGAGGATGGAAGAAAAGGATACAAATGGGAAATGTGTTTGCTCGAAATTTAGAATGAAGCAACATTCTTCCTTAAATCCCCTCTCTTGAGGTAACTACTTTTAGCAGCTTGAGATTTATCTTCCTATAGCTGATTATTGTTATAGCTTGTATTTTTCTTTATTTTCACAAAAAAAATGGGGTAATATTGAAGGTGTGGAGTCCCTCGGTGGTGCACACAGTTAAGTGCTCAGGTGCTAACCAAAAGATTGGCAGTTCTGGTCTGTCCAGAGGTGCCTGAGAAGAAAGATCTGGTATATGCATCCAAATATCAACCATTGAAAACCTTTCAGAGTACAGTTCTACTCTGAGACACATAGAGTTGCCATGAGTTGAAATTGATGCTCAACAGCAACTGATATGTTGAAGACAATAGGTTGTCTCCAAATATGTTGTGTTGTTGTTACGTGCTGTGGAGTCAGACCCAACTCAGAGCGACCT